AAAATGGCTTCTACTGTACTGCTGTAAAATGGCTTCTACTGTACAGCGCGGTAGAGTTGCCATGGTAATGGCTTCCCAGTACTCCACAAGGGAGCTCCCTCTGGTAAGGGGGAAAATCCAACATTAGAAATTACATTTCCCCGCTATAAATAAATACCCAGACGATGCCGGGTTATCAGCTAGTATTATAATATTGTATGAGTTGCATTGGTTCCCAGATAAAACTCACTTATATAGCCCTATATGTCACAAGACCATATTTTACTTGCAGGATTGCCTTTCCATGGCAAGTTCTAATCACCCACTAGATCATACAGGTTTGCATGGGCCTCAGGCCCTTTTCTGAAGTAATGCCATCAAAAGGGAGTGAAAAGATATTATCTATTACTCTCCTTCCAACTTACCAGGGCATGAAATGATGAGACTGAGAACAGGCCAAGTCTTCCAAGGGCCATTTTCGAAGGACGACTGGCAGCAGCCAGAAGACTCTTTGGATTTGGAAGTTCTCCGCCTTGCAAACTGGCTAAGTAACAGCGCATTTTGAAAAGGTCCATGTTAAATTTTTCCAGATTCTGCTCCCACTGCTGAATCTGTTTAGGAACACAAATACTTCTATATTAGAAGACAAATTGTGGGAAGGAGATGACCGTGCAACTCTGGTCCCAAGTTATTTACATCTGGAACAACATAAAAGTTGATTAGTTTATCATTTTCAAAACACATGCAGTCAAACTGTGTTCCAAATACCCATGAAAATCAATACTGCGCCAAAAGAAAACTGGAATGGCAAGAGGAAAATGTATAGAAATGTATCAGCCCTACAGCTCCTCCAGTTTGTCCCTGCATTTAAAGGGTGTATTCAAGGCAATTATAAAAAATACTTTTGGGAGGGGGTATGTGGAGGAGGTAGAAATGCATCTATTACCTTTTTGGTAATAGAGCCAGTTATTTTTAATATTTACTATTCCAAGGCCACCTTAACCAGTTAGTCCTTTAAAAACGCAGAAAAAACTCAGAAAGGTAAAAATACATACAAATTTTAAAAAATGTAACAAAGTAAAAGAAAGAATAATGAAAAGAAAATATATTAAACAAATTACATATATAAATAAATAATTTCTCCCTTCATCATGACAGATACAAACAATTTCAGCAACTTATCATCTTCTCTAATAGAGGTAGTTCTTGACTTAAAACCACAATTGGGACTGGGATTGCTATTGCGGTTGTAAAGCAAGACATCATACAATGCTTCATTGTGGGGTGGCAAGCAACCCAGGAACCATGCCTGCGGTTGTTTGCCATACCCCAGGAAGCCTCACCCACTCAGTCTGCCCAAACAAACATTTGTTTGCCCAGTTGCTTTCTCTCCCGTTCCTTGCACCAATTTTTGGTGCCCAGCTGCCATGACCTAAGCAGAAGGGCCTTGCTGCCTCAGCTATCTCCTTTTCAGACCAGTGGCCACTAGGCTAACCTCATCTCAAAACCATTAACATCAAGCCACAACAACTTCTAGCAAGCATTTGTTCAACAAGCTGCCTGCTTTCCCAGTTCCCCGTCCCAGTTCCCCTCTCATTTTGCGCCCAGCCACCATGGCAGAAGGAGAAGCACCTTGTTGCCTTTGCCATCTCCTTTCTGAACCCAGCTTCTCCAGTGAAATTTTCCTATGTGTGGCTCCCTGAGCCTTTGGAAGGCCGTGCTGCCTTTGTAAACTTTCCCTGACTTCCCAAAGGCTTTCTGAAGATAGTGCAGCCTTTAGACAGCCATGCTCTCTTTGGAAAGAAAGCACAGCTTTATTAAAAAAAACAGAGTTTTCTGAAGACTGCACTTTCTTCAGAAGCCTTCGTAAAGCTGCACTGTTTTAAGTATCTCTAGACTTCAGCATGAAACCAATGGTACAAGAGGCATTTATCAGATTCCTTTAAAATTGCCCTCTGTTTAGATTTTTCCCCTTATTTAAAACTGAATTCCTTTTTGAAATGATCATCATTTGAGGATCATTCAGGATTTTGATCATAATATTGCAAATCTACGCATTCACTAACATTCAAATCATAAAAGTTTGCAGCACAAGCATTCCGTATAACCTCACAATTATATATACAACTAAGTCCAAGAGAGAAAATAATAGGTTCTAGAATGTTGCAAATACTGCTTATCCAAGCCAATGAACATTTATAGGAAATATATCTGATAACAAGCAGAATTGGGATTTTTAAAGAACCTATAAAGTGTCTTCAACTGGAAAATTCTCTTGTGTAACTGCTTTGAAAAAACATTTTTTTCTTTCGTGAATTTCACATTAAAGAGAGAGACACGTGAGGTAAAGGAATCACAGGCAGTATTCAGTAACCACAAGACCACCATACCATTAACATTTAACATTTATTATGGGCGAATTGAGGAATATTATGTTAACCCATACCTATATGAAAAAAGGCAATAAAAATTCTGACTTATTGCTCGAGTCCTCTCCATCATATCCCATACAGCCTTCAGCTTCTCCACCACAACTGAAGTTACTTACTCTGCTATGGATACTGATTGAGAAATAAGACTTGCTGTGTTCAGTGAGGTTTACTCCCTAGTGTACAAATTTTCAGACTGCAGTCCCAGACCTTATTGCAATATTTTCTTACATGCAAACCTAATGTGAAATAATAAGTGTGTATATTCTAGAATCTAGATCACCAAAATTAGAAAAACACCAGGAATGTTCTTGCCAATGTGCTAGCAGCTCCTTTACAGCTTCTTTGACTAATGGACATGAAAGCAGCAGCAAAAGGCAAGTAAGGGAAGGTTGGAAGGCTTCATAAGATTTCATAAATGAGGTAGGTAAATTGGAGGGCAGCCAATTTGCTGCAGTGGTTAAATATACTAGGCTGGAAAACCACAAGTCTGAATTCTAATCCTGTGTCAGGCACAATCCAGTTGGGCAACCTTTGGCCAGTCATTCTCTCTCTCTCTCAGCCCTAGACAAGGGCAAACCATTAGANCCGTTCTCCCCGGCAGGCCATTCATATCATTCATTCTAGGACGAGAGGTAGGCCTGGGCCCCCTACCACTTCTGCTTCAGCACTCAGTGGAAGAGGCACCAGATTATCCAGCTTTTGATTGATACAAAAAATAATCAGAGGCACTGGCTCTCCATCTAACTTGCTTACCCAAGTTATCATTGGACCTTTACTAAGGGTGGTGTAATGCACTTACTACAGCATTGTTAAAGAGCAAATATTACAGTGTTTGTGGTTCATTGTCTCTGCCCATGTTGCACACAAGAAGTAGGTAGAATCAATTACTCATCTTCTTTTACGTTGTTAAGTTTAATACAACATTGAACCAAAACTATTTTTTCCCATTTTAGGATCAATCCCTGGTCACTAAGCTATCTTCTGTGTTGTTTGTTGATAATGTTTTTCATGCAACACACAATATTGCAAAGTTTTGTTATTTAGCAGATTCTGGCAGATGATCTGTAGTGGAAAATCACACTTTGTTGTATAGTTATTGTTTATTTACTGCTTCTTTACTATTTTATTTGCTGTCTAAAAGCCATAATACAGTTGAATTGAATGCATTTGTGTTTGCTTCTTCAGATGAAAACATTGCATGCTGGAGGGCGGGTCAGCCAAATCAGTTTATGCACAGGTTGGATCTAGATTCTTTAGCCCACAGATGGCAGGAATGTCAAAGGGAGGTTCAGCTGTGGATTAAGAGACTGTTATGAAACTTCTAGCAGTTTGTTAACTTATAAACAGAATCCAGGATGAAAGAAGACCATTTGCTTTAGAATCCATTTCTTATTCTAACTACTAAAGATGGAGAAATGGGAAATAAAATTAGTTAATCTGGTGATTTAGACAATACCTTTAAATTATATTTTTCTTTGAATTATTCTTTGTATTCTATTAATAGGTTAATAGGAGTAAAATAATATCTAAAAAGTTCTTGTCCTTTTTGAAGAACTGAGCCCATGCTATTTAAAAGTGACTGAAAGCTTTTCCTCAAGAAAGAGATTCTCAGTTAAAAATCTAATTCAGAGTACAACTCCTCGTTTGTCCATTTCTTCTTCAGTGCAATAGATGTTAACTTCATTAACAGTATTTTGATTGTCCTGTTTTTATGATTCAGGAAAACTGCATTAAATTTGAGAATGTCTTCAGTGAAGCACCTCGTTTATGCTATCATCCATTTCCTGAGGGAACAGAGTCAGATGGATACTTTCACATCAGATGAACAAGAAAGCTTGGAAGGTGTGTAGAGAAGGGGCAACTTGGTATTGAAATGTTGAAATGTTGCTGTTAAGAAGGGTTAATGCTTTATTTATTGTATTTTATAAGCCGATTTTAAAACTGAAGAACTTTAGAGTCCCGTAGACATTTACCTCAGTAAATGGGTAAATCAGAAAGATTGTTCAACACAGTCAGTTTTCTGGTTTCAGGGCATAGTCATAGAGGAATGTTTGGTATTCCAGAATGTGCATCCAGTTCACATGGAGAATTATTGTGGCAGGCAAGAATTTACAAACCTAGAGTAGATTTCATATGTAGGATTTATATAGTAACTGGTAAGGTTTAGCTTTAAATTTAATAAAGGGAAAGATACATTATTTCCTGCAGTATGTTAAGACTAATCTTGATTGTAAGTACCAGAGTTAACCATCAGTATGTGGATATCTTGTGATGATAAAATATTTATCTATCAGTTGCTTTAATACCTTGGATTTTCCATGTCCCAGGGAATTATAATAATTACATAGAAATAACCATGTAGTTTCCTTGATGGTAATATTGAAATATTTTGCCTTTATCTTATTCAGAGGAATTTTCCCACTTCCCAGACTATTTACCATAATTTTCGGAGTATAAGATGCACCTTTTCCCCCTAAAAAGAGGGTGAACATCTGGGTGCATCTTATACACTGAACACAGCATTTTTGGCCACCCATGCATCTTGTTTTTTGCAAAAATGGACGTGCAGAGTGTTTAGAAGGCTTGTAAAGTGTTCCTGGGGGCCAGGGAGGGCGAAAATGAGCGAAAATGGACCATTCTTTGCCTGTTTTTGCCCTCCAATCCCAGGAGCACTCTACAAGCCTCCCAAAGCATATGCATGCCCTGTTTTTTGTGAGTACCTTCTGAACCCTGTTTAATTGTTGAAACCAGCTTGATGCTACCATCTCCTGCTTAGCAGAGATTGCAAGATTATTATTGCATCCATTTTGATAAAATTATGGTCATTTAATTATAAAATAATTTTAATCATTAATAGTTTTTTTCTGTCAAATTCACCTCTTGTTGAATATATGGACAGCATGATCATGATGCTGATAGCTGTAGGCTAACAATTGTGCCGATTTGTTAAATATATTTTTTCTACCATATGTTAAGTTATTCTTGCCAGCCAGGCTATAGGTATTTGGGAATGTAGGCATATGATTAAGATTGTGAAGCTTATGTCTGAACAAATTTTGTTTACTGTTAAGTCTAGATAATTGAATCTAATTTTAGAATATTCAAAGGAAATTATATTTAGAGTTATTGTTGGTTGAAGCAACAAGTGTTCTTTGAAAGCTTTGAGATTTTCTATATTTTATATCAATAAAATGTGGATACTTTTTAAGGAAAATATTTAGGAAAGTCTCTTTTGATATATATTTTAAACAATTTAAAAAGGTATTATAGAACACTTCTTCCAAATCAAATGGGTAAAAACATTTCACTCTTTTGTCATCAAGAGAAGTAAAATTCTAAGTCACTATCAGAACAGAGATTTACTGAATATCATATAGAAGTCACCCAGCCTCACTTTATTTAGTTTTTATTTGTAAACATAACACCAATGTAGTAATTGAAACTATTGTAATTTCCTGCAGTATATCCCAAAATCAGTTTGGACTAAAGCTACTCTAATCTGGATTTACATATGTAAAGCCATTGTAGGAAGTCCTGTTCCCCCCACCCCTGAAGGTAGGCTTACCTAGGATAGAATCATTTACTTCTGTCTACTACCAGGAAAACATCGACTTCCTACAAGTCCCCATTGTGTATTTCTGAAATATTTGTATTTTGCACAATACGAAGTCTGAGTAGACTTGGTATTTGTTGACTTTTTGCCTCATCATTAAGTGATTTTTGGCTGGCATTTTTACTTGGGTGTCTGTTAAGATGGGAGGTGATTTTACAGGCTACTGGGGCAAGGGAGTGGAGGTAGCACACATTATCAATCCAACACTAAATGTGGAATGAAGCTATTTTATAAAGTATATAACAACAACAACATCAACTAGGATGCTGGCAGCAACCCATATCTACCATTAGTGCCAGCCAATGATAGTTGTGATACATTTTTAAATGTTCAGTTGACTGAGTTTCATGTTTAATGAATAAAAGATAATAATAATAGTAAAAAACAGAAACAGTACAAAACAAAACAAGATGGGATCTAGTTGCTTTGCATAGAAACATAGAGAAAAAATATATATCGAACAAGGGCCCCATCCATCCTACATTCCAATCTTATTCCAATTTATGGTAATCTGGGTGTTGAGTTATATGATAGCTGTGCATTATGGAAGTTACATTCCTTTTTTGAATATCAGAGATGAAAATCCAGATTATTGGTTTTTAGGTTTCAGATCAGATAATAGCAGTAGACTTATAGCAGTAGACTTATATACCGCTTCATAGGCCTTTCAGGCCTCTCTAAGCGGTTTACAGAGAGTCAGCATATTGCCCNTATAATATTATTTTGACAAGATTCTATAAATACAGAAGTTTTAATTTTTAATTTACACACACACACACACACAAACACAGACACACACACACACACACACCGTATTTCCCCTAAAAAACCCAGCGTCTTATTTTCTTTTGACCCCCGAAATAAGCTCTTGGCCTTATTTTCAGGGACGTCTTATTATTTTTGAAAGTGCAGGAAGTGGTGAACGTGGTCACCTCATAGCTGCTGCTGTGTTGCAATATTTTCGGGGCGGGCTTATTTTAGTGCATGCGCTTAAAAACCTGATTGGGCTTAATTTTCAGTGAAACAAGAATCATACAAAATAGGCTCTGTTAGGGTCCTCCATAATTTTTAAAAGTGGGAAGGAGTCTGAAAGCAAAAATGTATGCTCTAAACATATTCTTATTTTTGTGTTCCTTGACAAAAGAATGGGTTGTGAATGTGTTTCTTGACAAAACGCAAATGTGACTTTGGTAGATCTTTTTCCTCAATATTCTTTTTATTCAAAAAACATATAATTGGTTGGTGGAAAAACAATCTACAGCCCCTTTTTTCAATGCAAGACAACATGTTAATCATATTAATGATTGGTGGTCAGAATGAGATCATTTTGTTGACTTTTATATTTTTTGAGCTTTGCTCTTTTTTCACACCGTAGAGCTGCTGCTCAAAGTAAACTGAACAATCACAGTGAAGCAATAAAAGACTGTGAGAGAGCAATTGCAATAGATCCAAAATACAGCAAAGCATATGGAAGAATGGGGTAAGTAAATTAACTTGTTATATCTCACATTTCTGGACCACCCATCTCCTTCAGAGAAAGAATTCTTATATTTTTTGCTACATTCGCTTAGACCAGAGGTTCTCAACCTGTGGGTCACGATCCCTTTGGGGGTTGGACAACCCTTTCACGGGTTGCCTAAGACCATCGGAAAACACATATTTTCGATGGTTTTAGGAACAGCGTAGACTGAGCTCAAACTACAGCTCCTGGCATCCCCTTCTGAGCCACGAAAAGAAAGGCTGGGTGTCAGCTGGCTGTTCTTGCTCGACAAAGCTTCTGATATGCTCTGAGCCACAAGCGCTGAGCAGTCACCCCTCCTTTCCTAAAAAGGGAGCCTTGCTCGGCCACGGTAGCCGCTGGTGGCCCGGCAAAGATGAGAAGAGCGGGCAGTGAAGGGAGCGGGGCTGGGACCGATTCCATTGATCTGCTGGGCTCCTGCTCTTTCTTTGGCTAAGGCAGGAAGGAGAAGCAGTCACCACTCTTGGGAGACGCAAGCTGGATTGGTGACAGCTGTTTGGCGCAGCCTTTATTTTTCACAAGACGCCTCTGCCATCTTACGGAATAACCCGCACTGAGCAGCCAAGGGAAGTATCTTCACCGCTTTCCCTTCAGGCTGCCCTGGCAACCGAGAGGGAAGAGGAACCGTCGTGGTGGCAAGGGGGTTGTGCCAGCGTCCCCCTTTGAGGTTCTTGGGCCAGGCAGCGGGTTTTAACTTCAAACTAGGGCTGCAGCCTGCTGAGTGTCAAAGGAGGCATTCTTGCACTTTGCTTACTTTGCTGCACGAATTTAACCTGTAACTTTGCACGATGCTCAAGTGTGGGCTTTGAATCCAGTTGGGTCAGTGCCCTAATTCGTATTCAGTTAATTATTGCTTTTCTATCCCTTCTTCCTTCTGGGAGTTTAGAGTTCCCAGCCCGGGGATCGCCATTCAAATAACAACTGCTGAGGAAGGCCAATTTGAGTGTTATCAGCCTCAAGTCAGCCACTTTCTGGTCTCTTCAGCCCAAGCCATAATCAGTATTAATTATTGCCTTAGTCCTGTATTCATACATTGCACTAGTGATGAATCAAACTACTGTTGGGTTCATGGCAAACTGAATTATAAACTATATAATTTGTTATGTAGTCATGTACTATGGTGGCTAAGTACACTGTGAGCCATAATGATTTTGATATTGGCTGAACTCATTCAATATGTTGGTGACAATAGAATTATTATTACATGGAAGAGATTTTGCAATTGTTTGTGATGAGTTTAAAAAGGATAGCCTTCTAAGCTTATAAAGAAATTTCCAGAAAGCCTTCNTGTTCTACATACCAAAGAAAGAAATTGACATACAGAGCTGATTGAATATGGTGAAATCCAGCATAGATTAGTGCATTGCTCACCCTACTGCTTGTGTTCAAAATTAATATAGTAAATGGAACTCAAGATTGAAAGAGTGGATTTGAGTACTCCCAGATTACTATTTTGAATAGTGTCTCTGCTCTGACATACTGTGCACTAAAAAGGAAATTGCTTTATAGTATTGATTTCTTCCTGATATTACTTTATTGATATTTATTGCAGAATAGGCCCCTTGTGGCTTGTTTAACATCAGTGATATAAATGACCCTAAATAAAGGGTTATAGAAAATGATATTTGTCTTTCTTTAAAATACCCATAGAATGAGATTCTGCCTCTCTCAGATTCTTTGCCAGAGGATCTTGAAAAAGCCGATCAGCTCAAGGATGAAGGTAGGAAATTGAAAAGGAATTGAAGAAAAGAATCCTTTCCGCCATTGATAGTTTATTTGTTGGTCATGATGATAGTTAAGCTCATGAATGAATTGCAAATCTTCAGACAATTGGTGTTTGATAGATGATATTTTATAGAATGAATAGTGTGAGTGTGTTTAAAGTATAATGTCTCCTTGCTGCTGTGGAAGAATAAAAAAAACCACAAGAAGATAAAATGTACAGCAAATCAAAATAAATGCTTATTTGGACTTATGACTGGAAAGGTATATTGCATTTAAATCACAGTAACGTAGTATAAGACTTTACTTTGCAGCCTATGGTTTATAGCATGTTAAAATAACCTAAAAATCCTTAGAGTTTTTTGTTTCCTGAATCAAGCCTATCATTGTCAGCTTCATTTTAGTAACATCATTTGTTTCCTTTCAGATCATAATATACTGTACATTCAGTGTGACTCCCTTACAAAAGAATGCAGTCTCATAAGTGGTTTAGTAGAATGAAAGCAGTAGCTATTTTTGTTGCTACTCCAATTAGCAACTCCCTGCTCAATGCAATAATATAAATTAAAGCATTTCTGACAGATGGCTATCCATCTTCTGCCTCAGTGCTTCATTCAAAGACAGTCCATTTCTTAGATCACTGGTAATTGGTTCCATTTTTAAAGTATTGTTTATAGTTCTATAACTATAACGTAAGTCTGTTATTTTTCTGTGGCTTAAAATCTATTATTTTTTGACCTGTGTTCTAAGGTAATTATTATTATCAATTTAAGTTAAAGGATATCCAAAATTGCCATCATTCATGACATGGCATTTGGACACAAATCTTTTGATTTCAGCTATGATACTGTAGCTGTTGGAACTGTAATGGATCATTAATTTCAGCCAGTTTTTCAAGGAATGTGTCATCTTGTGTCAAACAAAATTACAGGCCACAAATTTTAATAGTCCCAGTTTGTATAGCATTGCTCAAAATAATTTGTTTTCAAAAAATATTTACAAAGGGCAACCAAGTTGTTTTTTATGTGTTGTATTTTATAGCACCCCTAAGGCAATTCATCATTTCAATTATTCATGACCATTTTATTATGATGATTTATTTTAGGTAATAATCACATGAAAGAAGACAATTATGCAGCTGCTGTGGATTGTTACACCAGAGCTATAGAATTAGATCCAAATAATGCGGTCTATTACTGCAACAGGTGAAGTTCATATAAAGCATGTGGATATTTATTTCTGAACTATATTTATACTTTTCTCAATATATACCACTGTTCTGTAGAATGCTATGCCAGACGTTTGTTAATTTCACTGCTGCATTTATTGTCCTTCCTTAATTAGACTCAGTCATCAGCTATCTTTTTATTTGAAATTTAAGGCCCAGCGGAGATCAATGGAACTTCTTTTGAAAAAAAATGTTAGTAGAGTTAGATGGGCAAGTCTGTGTTTAGTTTTAGGAATGTGCAACTCTTCAGTTCTGAAGCAGAACAAATACTTTGGAAGACACATGTGCATTCTTTAAGAAGCTGTTTCTTTTCCCATCCTTGCATAGTAACTGTATGGTCCTGGGAAAATATATTTTTGAGTGAAGGAGACATTGAAGAGTTAGCAACATGATGCAACAATGATATTGTTATTGACGAGCCAACTCTCTTGCATGGTTTCTGCCTGTCTGGTAAGATCAGGCAGAGGTCGTTGTTTCAGGTTTTATCCTTTTAAACCAGTGTTTCTCAACCAGTATGCAGCCAGTATGCTGGCTGAGGAATTCTAGAATTCCACACATGTTGAAATTATTGAATTTGAGAAGCACTGCGTTCAACCATCCCATCTGTCAGGATTGTGCCTTTTCTGACACAGCACCTGCCCTCTGGGAATAGCCTTCTGATGTTGTTCTAGAAGTCTTTAAATAGCAATAGCACTTAGACTTATATACGGCTCCACAGTGCTTTACAGTCCTCTCTAAGCAGTTTTCCAGAGTCAGCATATTGCCCCCAACAATCTGGGTCCTCATTTTACCCACCTCGGAAGGATGAAAGACTGAGTCAAGCTTGAGATTCAAACTGCCAAACTGCTGGCAGCCAGTGATCAGCAGAAGTAGCCTGCAGTACTGCACTCTAACCACTGCGCCACTGCGGCCCATCCTGTTTGTTCTCCCAGGCGTGGGGTTGTTCTCCCAGGCTTGGGGTAGCATCACTTTTAACTCCTGTCAGGAGTGTATTTATAAAATATGGAGGTTGTCATGTCTGGATACAGACTTTTCTCTGTTTACTTATTGTTTATGTTTCCACAGACTAAACTGTCCAGAGTCACTCTGTAGTCATGTGGCATTTATATTAATAAACAAACTCTAGAATAATGTTTCCTAAAGTGTGCTCCGAGGACCCCTGTGGGTCTCAAAGGACCCTTCAAAGGTCCAAGAAATCTAAGTTCTTTGCCAGATATTTTTTTTTTAAAATATATTTTATTCATTTTTCACATTCCATTTGCAATCACTTATATACAGGGTATTTACTATAAGAAAAGAAAAAAAGAAAAATGGAATAAAACGAACAA